ACCCAAGTGTAAATTTGTAGCACCCGAGATCTGCTGTTGTAATGAATGCCCGCTAGAAATTGCTCGCATCATGAACCACCTTGGATACTGCAAATGGCTACTGCGGTTTATTTGCTGATCGTACAAATGTCGCATATTGTGCGAGTTATGCTGCAGACATATTCAAATTGAAGTGTACCAGGGAAGGAGCAGATGAATTTGAAATAGTTTCAGGAGTCATAAATGACCACCTTTATCGTCAATCCTGTCAATCTGCATTGTAATTAAAACGAGCATTAATGCCTTGATGTAGTCTTCTGTCACATCTTTCAATTCTACATGACTTTCCACAGTTCACTACGAATAAATTGTGCTTTAAAAGGAAACTGAAGACCACTGTTTTGGCAAGAAATGGGACTGTTTACGCTCATGGCGGTTGGTATCCTTCTGATACAAGTAAGCGAATTCACATACGCAAACCCTCACACCCGTGAGTTGAGAGTTGGTGCCGTAAAAACACCGCTGCAAGACAGCTCAAGTGCATTATTTTCATGTGAACAAACGGATGCAACCGGGTGCACATAGGGACATGACTTCGAGTAGGCAAATATTTTAGAGCCACAATGTTATTGGAGTTTTTGCAAGCGTACCTAACAACTCTACCAACCCTAGCAACATAAGAACCGACGCAAGAGGACTTTTTGTAAAAAAAAAGCGAGCTTTAAAAGATTCATACTAAGGATGTAGATCTTTTAGTGGGCCCCAGTTCGGTTTTGGGGAACCACACCAGGGCCAGCAATCTACGTTGACATAATTTGACCGAAAGAAGAAAAGAAAATGCAGATAGCGCGTAACCCAACTTATTTATTGATATAGTAGCGGTGTGTGCGTCGGTGTGCAGGATGACAAGTGCCCCCAAATAGCTTCGCTAAATATCGATCTCCGAACGCACGTAGATGCGTGGAGTGCATTCACGAAAAAAAAATCGATTGAATTGTGTTCGCTCATGCTTGCACGTTGCGTTTGCTCACGACTGCTAACTGTGCTTGCCTGCTGCTCGCCACATCACATTGCCGATGCCCAACAATATCAAACTTTATAAATCCAGCCTTAATTCGATGTAGCTTTTGCCATAATTGATGATTTTAGTGACGTGGAAAATAATCGGCAGGCTATCGGTCAACAAGTAAAACGATACACGCGGGTAAGGACATAGGTAAATCCACAAGACGGCAAAAAAGGTCCAATTTAATCACATATTCATGTCAACAATGCGTATCTGGATGAGGGAATACCCTGGTTGCGAAATTGTGGAGCGTTGAAATTTATTGCACTGACGGCACACAGATTTTGGCCCGTAAGCGGAAATGTAAGTGGCCACCAGGATAAACAAGACGGTAAAGCGAGTCCCAAGATAAGAAAGCAATGGATGACGCTTAACCTTGTGTGAGTTTTAAAGTGGACAGAGATCTAGGGGTGGGATTCGCCACTTAAAGCATCGCACGCAATTCTCTTGCAACATTGGAAATTTTCAATTGTAAAATTTACATTTGTCAAAGTTGTCGTAATTATGTGTCGCTAATTCACCCCGCACCTACCTGTTTTAAATCTATACCAAGAAATAAAAAAACGATGAATATATGTTGTAGAATTTATTAGCCTCATTAAATTTGCATATATTAGTTGTGGATTGCGAAGCAATTATGGTACCTGGAATCACGTAAAAATTAATTGTCTGTTGGTGGGCGAAAAGTATAAATCATTGGTTTATAATCAGGCTTCTTTCCCGTAGATGCAGGAATCATTACGCAACGGCGTAAATTGCTAATGGCTGTGTTGACAAAGTGATATCACGAGTCCTAGCAGGACGAATTTCTGGCAAACCCACGAAACAATTATCAAGCTTTTGCTGTTGGACTGCACCAACAGTCGTTTGGCAAAAGTCCATTGGCAAGACAATGTTTACTTCACTCTTGCGGTACCACAAGTTCGTGACATTTACTATGGCATCCTTTTTGGCTTGTTGATTTAGTTCAAGGGATTCACTTGAAGTTTGTCGGTCTGTGGAGAGAACATTTCAGCGACAAGTAGAATGAGACGGATGTAGCAGTTGGCTAAGCCAGGTAGACGTCACAAGCTGCAAAATGATACTAGCATTTGATACTTTTGGACAAAGTCTAGTTTTGAAGAGGTCTTAATATAATCCAAACCTAAAAAAAATCATATTAAATGCATGGAGTAGAATATCGGGTCAGGAAACGTCATCGATAAGGGTTTAAAATCATTGGATTTCTGAGGTACAATGTGTAATGGGACTATCCAATACTGTCAGATGAGCAAACCATGCCTTGGTGGTATATATGCTCCAATTATTTTTGGTTACTCGGAATTAGCCACGTGCCAGCCGTCTAACATTGGTAATTGTTCGTAAAAAATATATCCCGATTTAGTCCGTGGCTTGTTTGGTTGGTTGGTTGGTTGATTGGCTGGGTGTCTGAGCCATTATTGATGACTTCCAAACAAAGTCCATTCAGGCTCATTGGAACGGAGACATGTTATACAGACAAAGTAATATTTTTGACAACAGGATGGCACTAGCCAGTGTCACCTAGAATAAAAAAATCCAAGCAAGGAAATTAGTCGCTTAGCATCGGTTGCGGAATCAAATTAAGGAAAACTGTTGCATGAGGTCCACATCTAAGGTGAGCAATTGTGGCCAAACATCGCAATACGTGAGTTATTTGCTGCCTGGAGTTGCAGATAGAACGCGTTAGATTGGTGACTGGTAAGTTTTCTCACCGATGTCAAAAAATTTAAACCACTAACTCTTTTGATGATGTAAGAGGTGATTTGATTGCGTGCCCGAGCCAACAGTTGACGTGTAAGGCAAGTTACCGCGCTCCGAGGGTGCAAATTTTGACTACATAAAGGCCTGAGGATAATTATTTGGGCTTTTTTTGGCTAGTGATCCACCACGCACCCAAACGTCCTGTCGGGAAGTACTTTTCGTAAACAGCATTAAGGGTATTCAGGCCAGTGCGCATAAGACGTTATGCGGCATTTTCAATGGGTCATCAGTCTCCTTGTTCATAAACTTAGTGATGGCCATTCGGTTTTTTCAATGTAATGCCTTTGTCTTAGTTACTTGCTGAATTACATTGCCCATCATAAGCTAAATAAGACTGATGGCTACTTTCATCTAAATTAGTAACCATACATATACCTACTCACGCGATTGCCTGTGATATTTTTTATTTGTGCTAACATCAACCCTGATGCTTAAGATAAAGTTGTGCTCTTAAAAAAAACACTGGATATTTGCTAACGCTAATTGACAGCCCCTGTCCACCATCCTTTCCCGCTCTTTACTTAAAAATTGAATAAACCAACTTCGGAAGTTCTTTTAGTGACTGAGGGTGAATAAGTTGGCCTTTAGAAGTTCCTACTTTTGTGATTTTAATTTGCTGCTCCCGTCGCTAGGCTCAGGTAACCAATTTTACGGTGCTGGTGTTAAAATTACAAAATGTTTTACACGGGGCACACAGGGACTTGGCGGATAATAAATTATGTGGCCTATAACGATTGCGCAAAGCTATATTGAATGCCAGCAACCTAGGTTTGTTAAACGGCTGTCGACTAGTTGAAATTAAGATTTACATCGTCAATTTGCAGAAAAAAATGGTGCAGGGCAGAAAGTGCCGGGTATTTCTTTCGCTAGGTCTACACACACTCCTCTGTGTTAGAAGCAAGCAATTACCCAAATTAGAATACACTTTTGATGTAGTAGAGCTCCGTACGGGCAACGCAGATGCTCCTAGGAAAAAACGCCTGAGACATTAGAGCCACCAGAAGGGTAAATCAAGTTGTTTTACTTCGCAAGATTTTGACTACTCATTTAACGCAGACGTATATACTTTGGGATGGAGGCTGGTGTGCTTGGTGTACGTGATCGGTAGACGTCAGATGAGATAAGAGGCATTAGCTCGATTAATGACTTAGCTGTAGGCGGGGGAGGGGGGCGAGGGAGTACTCAATGATTGACAGACCGGGCCATGCATTGGTACAAGTGAATTAACAAGATTCACAACAGCTTGAATCGAGGATAGAATGTGCTTTCTTCCATATATAGCGTCGATGGCGATCTCCTCTAATACCATACAAAATGAAGTACTCGAATTTGATAAAAAAAAGGTTGTTTTGGTTAGAGATGACAGTCTCAGTTAACGCACTAGTATAGAGCACTATCTTTCGAAAAAGCCTAAATTTAAATATACTTGGTTAAACCTAAATAACACTAGCAAACCTGAAAACCGAATGTGTACAAATGCAGCCTCCTTGAATTGTAGTCAGTAGCAAATCAAGTTAATTTTCAATGAAACCACACAGCTTTTTAACTGGCTCGATTTTGCTTTGACACAGTCAAGCAACAACATAAAATCACCCAATCTAACCGCCTATCGTCAGCAGCTGTGAAACTTGTCATAAACCTACAGTCAAAAAGTATTTTAACAGTTAGAAAATTCTTCTCTAATACATGGCAAAAATTCTAAGCATTGAATCAAAATATTTTCTAATTTTTTTGCCTGATATTTGAGGCAATGTCTTTAGGAGCCGTTGTTGAGGTGAGTAATTCAGCAACCCACTTATATCAGGCACCTGTGTGGGTGAGCTGTCGGCGGCAAATGCGAACCGGCTCGTAGTGCAAAGGATGCGATTTCGCGCTGCCATTGCCACAATCGTGTGCATCGATTTCGCGAATACGTCGACTACAGCAATCATTGAGAATCAGATTTACCGTGACACATTAGCTTCTCCAAAGGCATTGTCTTTAGAGATGGCGCAAACGCCTTACTTACTGAAGAACTAAATTCAATTAATAGCAGAATTTGAAAGTAATGCTATTACCGTTATCAAAACGAGAGGGTAAAATTTGCAAGAACTTTAATACATTATAAAATAAGTGACAGTAAAGCAGTGTGATTAAGAAATATAAGTCTAAGAAATCATCTTCTCAGTAAACTAACGTCATTGGAGACTGCGAGTTGGGAAAAAGTTTTTTTTGCATATTGCATTATTGTTAATTTTAGAGAGGTCTCCATCTTGGGAAAAAGGTCTGCTTATGCATAATCTGACAATTAAAAGTGCATGAGAGTGAAGGCAGAAAATAAAAAAAAATAACAAAGGGAAACATAAATTCAAAGAGCACATCATTTTCTTCAGAAAGACAAAATTCCTACTGTCGATGCTTACAGTGTACAAGTGAAAAGTTTATTACGAGAGTAAAGTTAGTAATACTACTTTCATGTACATTTGGAGTAGCATAACACAGTACAATGCCCGTAAAGTTTGATGAGACTGAACAAATAGGATCCACTGAGGGAAATAAGAGGCATCAACACTGCCCATGATGCTAACATATTCATATCATTGTGTGGAAATGCAGTGGTTTTCGATCAACGAAATTCAGTGCGATAAATGAAGCCTTTATGAACACTTAGACAGCAGTTTTAGCTCAAATTTTGTTTGTATCTATCATTGTTCAGCAAATTAACTTAGAAGCAAGATAGACCGTAAATGCTCGAATCTAGGAGCTCAGCGACATCAGTTTTTATTTTTAAAGGTTGGCAAAAGTGGTTTTGACAATCCCACCACCCACATATAGATTTTGACAGTAAAACTTCTGATAAAATAACAAGACTAAGCACAGGCAAAATCCATTACATAACAGAAATATGTATTGGAAGAAAAGACAAATTGTCAGAAGGTTCCTCTCTTGTCACCAGTCGAATATGAGTGTGGTTGTGCAAGCGACCCCACTGAAAAAAAAACAAATTACCAGTTTGAGGACTTGCTTTCGTTGTTGTACCTGATTACCTTAAGACGGAGTCACAGGTTTTCCGCTGTTAAAAATATTTAAGCACCGAAAAAGTGACTTGGTTCTATGCTGTGTACTTCCTGGCTCTGATGGTAGGACTTACTATCATACTGAAACCCCTAAATTCAACTGCGTCAATCAAACAGGTTCCTAGGCACTTGACCTGCATACGTTTTGAGTGCGCACATTTCATGAACAGTCTCCAATGTAATATTGTCTCATTTGTCCTTGTGAGGCTAAAGTCGGTGGTTCCGCACCACCGCATCTTGCACAGGTTTGGTACTACCAGTTCTACAACTTCATTGCTGTGTTGGAATTGCCGGCGAAGAGCACAAGCCTTTCTAGATGGAATGCTGAATGCACTTGGCAGTCAGTTGTGCGGCCAAAACACGAACCTTGCAATTTTGTGGCTAGGCATTACGTGGAGTGTAGATTTGGTGGTAAATGTGACTAATCGGTTGTAGTCCTTACGACACATCAAGGGTATCCAATAGAAAACACGATTTGCTTATTCAACGCGATCAGAAGGCGTAATTATTGTATTGGTTCACTATTAAGGCAGCATTTGGGTCTAACACTGATTTAGCCATTATGTAAGTTAAGGACGGCCATGGAAGCAGGCTGAATTGCTTTTGAAAGAAAGTAGCGGCATTGTCCTGCATAGTCACACAATCTAAGTGAAGCACTTGTCTGCGCACAACACATTTTGCGCCATTCTGTCCAGACGAAGAGATCCAGCTTTAAGCTTAAATGTAAGGAACTAGAAAAACACTCCCCCGTGTAACTTACTTCACTTGAGAAGCGTGTGCGCTTTCCGGCTGCTCAAGGAATCGCCTTGACAACGGCCTTGAGGTGGATTTCGGCGTGCGATTGGTGCACAAGCTTAACAACCACCAATACCTTAACAATGTAAAATGATTTTGGTACAATTCATTTATGGAAATTTGTGTTGCCACAAAACACGAACTAGTAAGTGTGCTCTTACATTCACCTAACTACATGTTTGCATTGTAAGGTAAAAAGCCGGCTCTAAAATAAATCTCGAGCATGGGCAGATTAATATAACGTCTGTTTCGCATAGGATACAAACCCAAGGTATAATGTGCATTAGGCACTTTATTAATTTTCTTTTGAATGAATGATGGCGAATAATTAATAAAAGAAAGGAAGACCAACATCATTTTCATGTCAAGGCCTTCGCTGGAAATAGTCTTATCTGTTTTGGACAACACAAGTTAGAAATTAGGCAGAGTCGGCAGTTTAAGTTTTCAGGGAAAACACTCCCGATTGACACAATTGTGGATACTAGTTTGCTTACGACGTGTGTGGTCATCATTATTCCGTTAAAGAAGCAAAATCTGCTTTACACGAAACGTGCTTATGAGGCCTGCAATAAATTAAGGAGGCAGTTTCAATGCGCTCCGTTTCATGAGTTTTCGATTCAACTTTTTATCGATCTTCGTGTGGAGTTATACATCACTTCCTAGCGCATGTGGAATCTCGTGTGTTCTAGTTTTTTTTTTATTGCGCTGAACATCTTGTAGAGCATTATTTGCTTTTGCGTTCAGCCACGCCCACCTTAATGGAGGTTGTTTCGTTGCATTTTCACAATCTGCACTTACAGCGTAAAATCCATCAAATGAGAATGTTAAAAAATGAGTTTACAATAATTGGTCCTATAATCTGAGAATGCATTAAATTCACTGAAAATCGATACAATCTCTCTTGACTTTTCTGAATAAATGACCTTCGCTTTTTTGTTTATTTTCCTCCCTAGGTTTAAATGTCGTTGTCTGCCATTGGGTGTTTTCTTCTAGGCATGGTGTATGAAGGGTTAATTACAGCGTATTCCATTTGTTCACGGGAATACGTATTGTGAAGCTGAGATATATTTTGATTGATAAATCAATAAGTTAGGAATGTATTTGTCGATGTGATTTAATTCGTGATTGAATACTTTTCTTGAATCTAGTACTAACTTGGGCTGCATGTTCTCATTTCACCTCTGAAGGAGTTGGAGTACATGGTAATTAACCCACCGCGCTACTTGCATTGCTTCGTGTCAACAAATTAGCAGCATTTTGAATCCCTTGCACCTTGTCAATCCTCAACACGTGACTGTTGCATTAAGGCAAATTGGATGACCGAATTTCAGATCTAACGACCTATCATTTTTCTCCGGTGGGCATTGGGTGTGCAATCGCGGTTTTGACTTTATGTCTTTCCTACTGCAGGTGCCATGTGTTGCACATTAACCTCGCTGCTGAAGTGCCTCATTGCAATAATAAATCTCGCCGTTGGGGTAAGCCATCCCATGCATTTGGCAAAAGTTTGTTGAACTTTATGTGTGTAGAAGAATACAAATTCAACCCATTTTAGGGTTTTGCATCACACTTTAGCTAAACAAGTGATTTTAAATCTTTAAAAAACAGATTTGTAACTTACAACTTTGTGTCACAGGCATGTGTAATACATTGGTCAGAAATAATAAGTTCGAAAACAATTACTAACATTTAAAATTTCTACAGTAACTTTAATGAATTCATCAGTTGGATTTGTGACATGATTAAATTGTTTCGAGAAAACAAACATATTTCCACGTGGTTCACATATAATTCAAGTGCCTACTGAAGCCTTGGCATTACTACCACTCTCTACAAGACCTTTAAATCACTTTGGAGTGGATCTGTATTAAATGTCTTGAAACATTAATATTTTCTTCTATTTGTTACGTTTGCCTGTAACAAAAGAGAAGACCAATCAAATAACGGTACCAGATCGCTTGCTGAACCTAGAACCGACCTTTCCAGGCCAGTGCAAGAACAAGACCAGAGCTCGTGTAGAGAGCTTTATTCACGTCAGCCACGTGCAGAGAAGAAGCGAAATCGAAAGTGAAAACGAAACTAATTCAAGTCGGGGTAGACCTTGGCTTGATAAAAAGCGTAACAAAACAAATGTTAGTAAATTAACGTAAATAGCATCAGAAACCAATCTTGGGGAATCGTGGATCCCCAACACTATTTCAGTATTAATTAGCTGTCTACTTTAAATATAGAACCCAACTTGGAGAATCCAACTTTAAACAAAGCATGCCCAAACCTCACTTTTGTTATAAAAGTTTTGAACAACACTACTCAACGTTTTGAATATGGTCTATTACGCTTAAAAACACTCGTGTTGCCTGTAAACGATTGGTCTTTTTCTGGTCTAATGGAGTCGTTAATCATGCATTATATTTTAAATGGCTTTTAATGTCTGACAATGGCCCAATTAGAGATTTCTGAAATTTAATAAACTAATTTAGGTAACGAGGATGCTTCCTAGATGTAATGTGATTTATTTTACAATAAGTAGTCGGTTATTACGCTACCAAAGAAAACAGATTTTCAAAAAAAACGAATGTGGAATTAAAAGGCTCACATGATGAGCATACATAAGACTCGCATTTTTCCGCCCTCACTAAGTAAGAAGGATCCTTTGCCCTCCACAAACTATCTCCTCGCCATAGTTTAAGGTCGCATTTGTAAACAAAATTAACAGTGCTTCATTTGGACAATCAAGACGAAAATGAATATTTTCGTGAAACCAAAATAGTTTGCGAAACTACTGCCCGATTTTTGGTTTCAGTGTGACATTAAAAGCAGAGAAGATCGAAACACATGCGCACACTTAGGTCTTGTTTCAGCAGTCTTGCGACATGAGGCGAGTAGAGATTACAAAAATTGAACAAGCTAAACGATAATGGAATCGGGTGTCCCTCTAGGTGGCATTTCTGGGTCTGGGGATCGTTGGGATCCTACTCAAAACCCAGAAAACTTTTGTCGAAACGATCATCAAGAACTGGCTGGATCGAATGCACGATGAAGCCACAAAGGAACAAATAGAGGCCTTTTCAAAGTTCATCCTAGAAAATTCAAGTAAGCAAACTATTTTTCTTTAATTTTAAAGCAACTCGTTAATATTCAACTTTCAGAAAATTAAAGGTATATTTAAGTCATGTTAGACAATCATTCTGCTGTAAGGCGGTTGACTTTACTTTGGTGATCCGCATATACGGGTTTGCTACTTAATGAGCTTAACTGTGTACAGTTATTATGATTACTTTCAAATAACAGGCAACGACTCCGTTATGGGCTTGCATAAGTTCTAAAAATGAGGCCTGAATACCACTGTGAAATCTAATTGCACATTATAAATCCAAATCAATGAGATACAATTAGAATTCATTTCAGTCTAAATCTATGAGAAGTATAAAACTTTAGGCATCAATTACGTAAATTTAGAAGTAACAAGTTTGAAATAAATGCCAATTGTGTTACTGAATAGAAACCTCTTCCTTATACAGCATTGTAATTTAAGCTTCAAAAATTACAACCGCGATTTTTTTTCCAGCTGGCATCTCTATTTTATTCATCCTGATCGGGTTTGTCGTCGCCTGTCTATGCTTCGTCGGGTTCATTGCATCATGCTGCGTATGCACCGTTCTTCTGAAAATTGTAAGTTAGAATTCGCAAATAACTCCAAACATTGTTTCAATCAAATTCATAGTTTAGTCTTAGAGATACGTTTTGTGTGACATTCAAAGGCTTCAACAAGGCTTTCATATTTGATCTATGGCAAAAGGGCAACCTTGAGAGTACATTGCCCCACAGACAACTAATTCATGTGTGCAACAAAGCGCATGAAATAATTGGTAAAAGACTGATAACTCCAATGAATTTAATGTTAGGATTGAATGAATGTCTCTCACACACGTAGTTTATGCGACAGTATCAGTTAAACAGGAAGATAATTATTGCCCACACCTCAGTGGAAGCCATCGAGTGTACTATTGTGTTTTACACAGTGATCAATTCTCAAATTTTGTATAACTTTTGAGATGAGGGGCTAGTAAGAACCTGAAGAGATTTTGCGAATTTGGTTTTTTGTGAAATTCGTAAAAAAAAAGTTGTTAAGCAGCGTTATTTGTTACCACAACTTACGATTTAGCTACATATTCACCATTTGACTTTATTTATTCGACAAAGACTGTGTTTGTTAAAACATCCTCTTCTGCTGGACCCAGACACGCGATTACTACCAAATATTTTAAAATTTACTAACGGATGCAATTTATACCCACCGTTTAGTTAAATAGGTTTACTGCAGTTCATTTTACTCAATCTCTTAATGTACTCTTTACTAAGGAAACTTACATCTCAAATTTCAGTGTTAGTTGGAAAGTTAATTGCACAAGTAGAGATTCGTGTGCCGAGCTAGACCTTGCCAATTTCGATTCCTTTAAAAAATGGTTGAAGAATGTGTTAGGTTGGCATAAAAGTTCTATCTGAAACGATAAACTAAATATTTAGGAAAGAACTTGAGTGGTAAATATCAGATTAGTGAAAAAGTTATGTCCACTCTCAAGATTTTGTAAAAAGCCATGCTAAAGACAATTCAGATTCACGAACGTATCCTATTTTCAAGCTGGTGTAATTGGTAAATTAAAACCAACCTAATGTTAATCGAATTTTCTCCAAAATACCGACCGAACGGCTAAGAATGACATCAGTTTTCCTTGTTGCAGGCAAACAGACACATTTTGACTTGCTTGTGCAAAATAGATTATTCATCTAATTACTGCTACAGACCACATTTCAGAACACAAAACAGGAATGGTATCCAATGACAGTTAATTGTAACGCGCTATCATGAGATCGATTGCCATTCGATGGCCATTCACGTTTTCCACAAACTTAAGGGGGAAAATGACAAAAAAATTAATTTAGAGTCAAATTGAATTCGTGGTATTTTTAGCTGTAATAAGTTTTCCATTTTTTTAGTATGCCGTGGTCTTGGCTGTGCTACTAGTTGCTCAAATTGTCGCCGTAGCAGTCATCTTCTCAAATCCAGCAAAGGTAAGTTAATTTACATTATTTTAACGTAAATCCTTGAAGTTCATGTGATACATCGATACGAGGCGCTAGGCTGAACACATTTTCGCCACAAGAAATCACGAGTTTACAGATGGTGTTAATCGTGATTCATCTTCAAAAGGGTAGTTTTGATATGAATAATTATCAAATGCTAAAGCAACGTACTTTCACTGGCATATTCAATTTTGAGTTGGAAACGCTCTCTACCAAATTAGTATATTCTTTACACTCCAATAAAATTATCATTTTTGGGGTAGTAAGAAAAAGACTCCCTATCTGTTGTACATTTGCCGCTTTATCCTCCTTATATCAATTCTTGCTTAATTTAATTAACGATGGAGGGCCTGCTTCTTTGAGGACTTAAAGGCTGCACGTGACACGTCACTCATCACATGACTTCTTGAGTAGTGACATACACCGGAATTTTTTGTTCACTATGACAACATTGTTGTTTTTGACTTATCGTTCCCATGAGCTGACTTGCCACACGAAAGCCACCGCTTAACTGAAGGAATGTTAATTGGGTGGAAAGCCTTTAATTGGCTTCAAATGCTTCTTAAATCCAGTCAGCGCTTCAGCATACTGTTTCTGTTACGGTGAAAATTGCATTTTGCCCGTATTTTGAAAGACTAATACAAAATATCTGAATATAGAGTAGCGAGCTATAAGTCCACGCAATTACTTGCTCCCTTAAAACGAAAATATTTTCGGCATTAATTAGAAGGTTGTACTTAGTTTTTTTAAGTAGTCAGTGAAGTACAGGGGTAATGCATGCTTAAATTTTGATTGTTAATACATTTACTTGTGTCAAGTTTGGTGGCTGCCTAACTTAACTAGTTGCAGAAATTCTTCGAGGGTCTTATTAAGTAAATATAACCCCGTGAAACGATGTGTCATAGACATTGAGGTTCTTTGCAAGTTAACCCAAACGAACGAAGTTTCATGTATTTTCATACCCATGCTTAAAATCAAAATTTAACCGTATCAAAGTTTCTAATTTTTTCTCCGCTTTTGATGCGTTCGTTTAACTTAAGATCATTGAGCATTACAATAAAACTAAATTTTTGATGAAGGCAAGTTTTAAGTACACTACTTGATCCTAAACAAATTGCTGATTACAAATAGTAGCAGACTTTAATATTCCTTGCTAATTAAGCTTTGTATTTCCCCTCACACTAACATTTCCACATTTCATTTACCGTACTAATGTTTAGTAATAGTTTTAATGCATTCTGAAATTTCCGACGAAAATCCCACTATGGCGACAGGGTACAGAGGCATGACGTATAATCCGTGATAAGAAATATGTCTAAGAGACAAGTCTATGATTTCGGAACTGTGACCTTGTTACGTTTACCTGTAACAAAAGAGAAGACCAATCAAATAACGGTACCAGATCGCTTGCTGAAGCTAGAACCGGCCTTCCCAGTCTAATTCAAGAACAAGACCAGAGCTCGTGTAGAGAGCTTTATTCACGTCAGCCACGTGCAGAGAAGTCAGTGAACTCGAAAGTGAAAACGAAACTAATTCAAGTTGGGGTAGACCTTGGCTTGATAAAAAGCGTAACAAAACAAATGTTAGTAAATTAACGTAAATAGCATCAGAAATCAATCTTGGGGAATCGTGGATCCCCAACAGACCTGTCGCATTCGGCGCTTCAAATATTTCTATGAAAATGCAGAGTTTAGGCAATCCTTTACTGAGTGCTGTGCTGAATACGACACCTTAAACAAAGTCAAATCAAGTATTTGTCTCGTGTTTTAAGCTTAAAACGTTTTTAGTTTCATTTAGTTTTACTCTACTTTAAACTGCACCGTTCTGCCTACAAATTAGTTGCACAATTTTATAAGACAAGAATAAATGCAATGACTTTGTCTCTTTCTAGTACAAAAATTACATTTTGAATGTAATGAAAGATCTACTGAAGAAGTATAATTCCAAAGCGGGTGGTGATGGTTATGCCGTGGAGCTTTGGGATTATATCATGGAAGTAAGTTACAGTTTCGATATCAACTATTTCCGATGCAAGATTTGCTACAGAAAAGACGATAGAGCAAATGAATTTGCTCTGATTCCTTTCACGATTTTTCAGAAAAATGTATTTTACCATGCAGATCAAATTCCTTTGCAGATGATACGATTTACCCACGTGCAGAGGTAACTGTAGATCGGGGTTGAAGTGAAATGGTTGAAAACTCAGGTTATTTAGATAAATCTACACCATTAATTATTTTTGTGAATTAGCTGTTATGCCACTGTAAGACAGAATAACTTCCATAAATTTTTATAATGCACAATTATAAGTGCAGTTATTAGTTAATCTGTGCAGCGACAGCAAAAGAACTGACTCAAATCCGACATATTTTTTGAATTTTCGTGCACATTTATTTAGCTATTTAAAATAAACCCTTCTGAAAGCGCACTTTTAAATAAACATTTCCTTTTTGAAAGGCAAATCTTAAAAAAATTTCCTTATTTTCTTTATCGTTAGGGCCCCAATTTTTATCTTTAATTATGTGGTTTATTCTTAAGCACAAAATTTCATGCCAGAAAATTCGATCCTTTTAGTACTTGGTTTTTTAAATGATTCCATTTAAAGGTTGGATACGTTTTCACGCCCAAGTTGTGTGGCTATTTCACTTACTCAAAATCAACAACCTGACCTAAAGCCCACCCGCATTTTGGAGTCACGCGCTTACTGCATTCCTTCTCCTTTTTCTTAATAGTCAAGAAACAAAACATGCTGCGGCGTGACCGGAGCTAGTGACTTTCAGGAATCGCCAATGAATCCCGGTAAGTAAATGAACTCCAGAACGACACATATGTGATCTAAAGGAGACCAAATTCAGTTGATTATCTGTTTGGGCACTTCACTGCTTCTATTTTTTTATATACCAGATTTTGCATATAAAAATAGTGCTGAACCGTCCGATATTACCAATAGTGAATAGAATTAAAAACATATGACTCTCCGTTTGCAATGAAAAAGGAGACGGATTACGCACAGGAGGATAGTTAGTCGTGAGGCAGCCTAGTTAATATTTAATCTACATTATAGACTGTACAATTTATTATATGAAGTTGATTTATTTTAAAATCTTAGTGTTCATCTTTTACGACATCCTTACTCATTTAAACCTGACGTTTTTCCCCAAATCTAGACTGTCCTGCGGTCTGTTGCCGACCCGCTACTACTACTACTACGTGCACAATAACGCAAGCAACTGCTCTCACACCACCTGTTCCAGGGTGCAGTGACAAAATCTCGTCGTTTGCTGAAGACAATATGAGGGTTGTCCTGATTATTCTGCTCGTTGGAATATCAGTCCAGGTACGTTCAATGGTGCAGCAAGCACTGGTGTTGTTATGATATTTCAAGTCGCCTGACCCGTACTTCATCTTCTTTGTCCTCATTTTGCCACCTCCAGCATCAACCCTTCTTGAACTTAGCTCAAACCCATTACGGGCTATCAGTGTTTTCAGTTTTAAGTTCTGCTGGAATAATCTAATCATACCGCACGTCGTATTAGTACGAATACCCTGGGAGGAATTAATATAATTATTGAATTATGAAATAAGTTTACTTTTAAACTAATATGTCGCTGGAGATTTTTATTACGACTGTGACTGCTGATGTCACAATTATGAACAAGTGAATGTCTAAGCCTGGTCGACGTTCCGGGTCTGTGGAGAAAATAACTCCCAATTGATAAAATTCTAGTGCTTGCGATTATTGCCTTATGGGGACTCAGTCTTTGCGCTAAAAGTACTTATGCAATGTCACCGAAAAGTTTTTAAAAAAAACAGATTAGCTTTAACGTCTTCTGCTCTGCTCTGTCTGACACCGCAACACTTCACTTCGCTACTTTTTTTTACTCGTTTGCTCTCGCACCGTGATGTTTGGTATCTTTACTTTCAAATTATCCAATTTACTTGCAATGCAAGCGTATTTAAATTACAGTCATATTATTTTCATTGATAAATGGCCTTCCAATTTTCTACCTGCAGCTAAATATTGGTAGATTTGTTAATCTTTATTAGGCGGTTACTATGGTAACACACGCATACTTCCTTCACAACTACAAATTTTCATTGTGTGATTCTTACTACAGACGTCATTGGTAACGAATAAGGTAAAATACTCACATAGTTGTTATCGTGGTTTGTCAAGCATTGGTTCAAGAATACTGTGGAAATCAAAGAAACGGTTCTATACCTTATGGCAACTAATAACAATCTAAAATGCAAGATTAATGCGTCCATTACAGGCAAAGGAATGAGCTCTTTTTGAATTCAGCGAGAATAGCTGAGAAGAATGTTAGATTGTGGACTTATTTATTGTACTGTCCTGAGTTGGAGAAATGTGCAACTGCTGTTTCGCTAAAGATATCTCCAAGTCCCAGTAAAACATAATGCCACTACTACATTTTGAAGGTCAAACTTCAGAAATTAATAATCAATATTTAAGCTACCGCCTAGTGAAAAATTGTTTTTTACCTCAAAAAAGCGGTAAGCGCTAACGTACGAAAATTGCAATTAGTGTACCCTGCAGTTTAATATGTCATGGTCATGAGTAACATTACCGATATCTGTATTGATTTTTTAGGAGGTAATTAATTTAAGATTATTAATGATGAATTTAGCTTTCATGGAAGTTGCTACATTAGCATATAAGCGGGCACCTAGTTTTTCTGAATTATTGCGGTTTGGGTTGTCTCACAGTAGAAGTCCTTATTTTCAAGCCATGTTACGAGAGGATGTGGCTGCATAAATAAAAGGCAGCTGTCACTTCATGGCCTTGATGCCGAAGATTTGCTGGTACCTTCGGCGAGGCTGTGAGCAGTTTCGCCTAAGTGAGGTACAGTATCAACGAGACAGCGCTTTTGCACATCTATACGGGCGGAGAAGCACTCGACTGTCTTTCGAGATCTAGATTACCCTTTTTTAATGTAAACTGATTTATTCGCTTTTTTGGGTAAGATCTGCTAAAACAGTCAACTGGATTGTCCAATGGGAAGGTTGCGATTGAAGATGACCATGTTAAGGCCATCAATTTACTGAGGCTAGCTACAACACGAAGTACCCAAAAAGAAATGCGACAAATATGACGGGTGCTAAACCGTTTAATGGGTCCTGAGGAGAGGAGGTCATTAGCATTTAAAAGACGCTTGATGTCGATCTCGGTACAATCACGCTTTTTAGCAATGTAGGCGCTCTGTTCACTGCAGTACCAACAAGAATTACAAAGATGATCCCGGCATTAAGAAGTTGCAATTTGATATTTCGGCAACACGCCAATACGCTACATCAATTATTTAAAAATAGTATAATGTTTATCAAAAGAGATACCATGTTTAAAGGGGAGTTAAAAAAAGCTATATTTCCAAAGTTGTTTGCGACATTTTTATGCCTTCATTTTAGGCCGTTCTCCTGACCTTCGTCGTTGCCGCAATATTTTGCAAAAGCGCTTCCCCCATATAAACGACCCCGCGGATTTATTAAAGAAGTACAAATTCCCACATTTTCCGTGTTATTTTCTTTCATTTTAAGGTTGTAAACTGTTTTCTGATCATTGATTCGCAAAGATTTTGTTGACATCTGAAAAGTGGAACGACAGCTTTCACGAACGATGCAGCGTGACGAGTGAATAACTTGCAAAGGATTAGACAATACTGCATTTCTCCGGTAAACAGAGATTAGAAATTCCAATTAAAAGTCCTTATGGAAACTGGATAGGAAGTAATGCAATTATTACGTTTAATAAGATTTACGCAAAAAAGGGAGCCACCAAAATTGGGGCTTAACCGCTTCATAGCATCTCTTTCATCAAATGCGTGTGTTGTGAATCGTGTTTATTCACATCCCTTAATCCGGTCGATCCACCTCCGACACAGGGTTCCCCTTTTCGCAGCATGTCGTCAGCCGCACGGACCCTCAACTCCCCCCTCATTCACATGGATATTTATCTTGGATTATCCTCACACCTAGGTCTCGATGTTAGTCCACTTATGACTCACACATCCGAGGTATAAATACACACGCGCAAGCCCCACACACGACACAACGACACCAACGAAGTTGAACTCTGAAGTAAACGGTAGTGTCCACGTCATCTTCGGTCTTTTTCTTCATCGCGGGTATCAGGGAAGCGTAATTGGGCCAGGGTTAATTCCGTGGCCCCAGCGTGGTTCAAGGCCACATACTGGGGCCCGCAACAATGTTTTAGAACCACGGATCTTTACCGCTTCATAGAGGCTCTTTCAATAGATCGTGCTTTATTGTCAGTGCAAAAATTAGATAGCACCAAAACCCCCTACCCATAGTGTCCAAAGTTGCACTTTTGGCTACTGGTTCGATTCTACGAGAGATAGTCAATAGAGAGGTAAATCATGTCAAAACCTTTCCTTCGAACACTGGTACGGATCAAAAGCTCCGCAGAAGCGTTGACAATCAGTTACAGTGATATGCTTAGTTTTCAAACACCTCACTGTCGATTTCGAAATCAGCGACCCATAGCTAGTATTTTAACTTGAGAACCGAGGGACAAGCTGCTATCATCTGGTATCTTGGCATGACTGCTTAAGACTGTAGGATATAATCCAAGTGGACATCTTGCATAGTGCATGAATTCCCGATTGTGGGCACCTCGTCGTCGTGCCACCTGGTCGTACTAACCAACGGTTGTCTACGGAATGGAATAAAGTGTGCGGTACTAATGCATTTGTTAACTTGGCGCATTGAAATATACCAAATGCACTATGTCGGTCTTCCGAGTAGGGACTTCGCAAATAAATTAAGCCTAATTGGTGGGTTTTATTTTTTGGTATTGCTGTTATATAGAGATGTTTAGACCATACGTAGAGAAGAGTCACCGACCATGGTAGTTACAGTAGTGTTTCGTGTAAGCCGAAAACGTTCGATTCCAAAACCGGGTTGTCAGAATCGTGCCCTGGTTGAGTTGGTCGTCTTTGTGAAGGCATCGCTTCAGGTAAATCGGCACCGTCTGTTGCAACGATTTTAACAACACACAGATATTTGGAAAATCGTTAAGCAACCTTTACATTGCGAAAATAGGTCTCAATTTGCAAATGCAAAGCACGAGCTTTGAAACGGAGTCTATGAGAGTTGACTGAACTGCATTTTAAAAACCAAAAATTAATAACAGCAGGTATAATTATGTGTTCGTAATCTGTACCGCCTTTGATTGTCATTTTCGGACGTGTTGCATCGTTTGGTACCTACAAATGTTTACGTCAAAGGCTATGACCATATAGAGTTAGTTTGGAGAACAGTCAACCAAATAGAAGTTCTTGCAAACCCAAGTTCTTAGTACGCCGAGTTCAGCTTTTTCCACAACGAAGAAGTATTTGGAATTGTAATGCAAAATTGTCTCATTGACTACTCCTTCAATCGGATGGCTAAAATTGTCCTGTTATCGTTTTCATTTCTTACCTTTAAGATAGGTGTTGTAACTGAATGGTTTGGAACGATAAGCGCGTTGATTCTGGAAGTGTACGTCCAAGATTTGCCTGAAGGAGTGCTTACCAGCTTTGACCATGTAGACGATTGAGGCAACGAACAAACAAGGCTAATACGTCTTTTGCTCACTAGCAGACGTCGTTCAGACGATTTACGTTGAAAGCGACAATCGGTGAAATTTGACTAATGCCGGTAGTTTGATGTTTGGTGGTCAGCCTATGTGGCCACAAGAAGAAATTATTATCTCCTGTAGCTGAACAGCACTACTAACCACCGCTTTTGCCATCAACATTTCATCGTACCTGACACTTTAAAGTTTGT